GGCACATGGAATTCACAACCCTGTCCCCATGTTCCTGTCTTCCTCCTTCTCCCATCACCCTGTTCCCTAGAGATGACCAATCAATTGGTAGTCAGAAAAACCCCAGCCTTCAGAGTCTCTTTATTCTTTTCTCTTTATATAACAGGTCCAGCGAGAGTAGGGAAGGGTCAAGCCAAAGGAAAGGTCAGGACAGAACAGGAATAGCCTAAATAGGCTAAATTGCCCACTGATGAGGCCTCACCTCCACTGACCTTTGTGCTGCTCAGTCTAGTCCACCCCAGGGAAAAATATCAAATGAAGTGCAATACCTTGGAACAAGGAGTCTGGGAGTCCTTTGTAGTGTCACATTGTATCTCTAGTACTTTCTAGTCCTCAGTTTATAACTCCAAATGGTGGGAATCTTTTCCCTGGAGCTGTATACTGAAAAGTTAAGAAAGCTCAATTTCCAGAAGGTCACAGGGTTAATCCACAGGCCTGTGAAGCACACTGGAAGTATGAAAGAGAAACCTCTGGCACTCTCAGAGCTATACCCTGAGATGCCGGGGTGTGTGCAAAGAGCCTGTTCGGGCCTAGGGGTGGGAGTCCCAAGAGTGGGCTACCTCTCCCCTGCCATGACAACTCCAGGTGAGTCAGCTCCTATACATTGACCTCTTCTCCAGACTGTTGTCCCCCAACAAAGGAAGAGAATCAAGAGGACAACAGGGCCGGGCGTGGTGGCTCACGCCTGTAATCCTAGCACTCTGGGAGGCCGAGGCGGGCGGATTGTTTGAGCTCAGGAGTTCGAGACCAGCCTGAGCAAGAGTGAGATCCCGTCTCTACTAAAAATAGAAAGAAATTAATCGGACAGCTAAAAATATATAGAAAGAAATTAGCCGGGCATGGTGGCTCATGCCTGTAGTCCCAACTACTCGGGAGGCTGAGGCAGGAGGATCCCTTGAGCCCAGGAGTTTGAGGTTGCTGTGAGCTAGGCTGACGCCATGGCACCCTAGCCCGGGCAAAAGAGTGAGACTTTGTCTCAAAAAAAAAAAAAAAAAGAGGAGCAACAGGAGAATGGCCTTAACTGTGAAAGGCTGGAGAGGAAAAGCAATCTTCTTGACATGCCTGAAAGTGATTTTTCAAGGTGGTGGTGAGGGATATGTCTCTTATTTTAGATAAGAAGCACTTGCTTGTCATTGTTTCAACACCTCACATGTATTTTATTTTATTTTATTTATTTTATTTTATTTTATTTTGAGACAGAGTCTCACTGTGTTGCCCGGGCTAGAGTGCCGTGGCGTCATCCTAGCTCACAGCAACCTCAAACTCCTGGGCTCAAGCGATCCTCCTGCCTCAGCCTCCCGAGTCGCTGGGACTACAGGCATGCGCCACCATGCCCGGCTAATTTTTTCTATATATTTTTAGTTGTCCGATTAATTTCTTTCTAATTTTAGTAGAGACGGGGTCTTGCTCTTGCTCAGGCTGGTTTCGAACTCCTGAGCTCAAACAATCCGCCCGCCTCGGCCTCCCAGAGAGCTAGGATTACAGGCTCACATGTATTTTAAAATCCTTACAACAATCTTCTGAGATAGGTACTATCATTATCCCCTATTTTACAAATGAATAAACTGTGGCACAGAGAGGCTAAACAAGCTTCCCAAGGTCACACAGCTGGTTAAGTGGTATAAGTAGGATTTTCATTTAGATAGTTTGCCTTCAGGGACCACATGTTTAACTACTATACTATACTATACTATAATTTTTCCTTAATAGTATAGGAAGGCTAGTCTCTGAACTTTTTCCGGGTTTTAGACTATTGGGCCAGGACCTGCAGCCCTGAGTCTTTAGCTACCTCTGAAAGGGAATTTTTCAGTTTAGGAAATGGAGGTGGACATGAGGTCAGAACAGAAAACGGACAAAATCTTCCCATCTCCCAGTTCAGAACTACTGAGATCAGGGTGCTTGGTACAGGGACTGTAGCCATTGCAGGATCAGTAAAATATTTTCCTCATTCACCTTATGTATTTTATCTCCTAGAGGTGGTCAAGGAAAGAACTCTAAGAGGGTCTGCACTGAAAGAATCGGGCGAAGGTCACCGGCCACATTCCTGTAGTCCCGGCTAAACGGCAGGCTGAGGCAGGGGAGGATCCTTTGAGGCCAGGAGTTTGATGCTGCACTATGATTGCACCTGCGAATAGCTATTGCACTTCAGCCCGGGCAACACAGCAAGAGCCTATTCTCAAAAAACAAACAAAACATAAACAGACAAAAAAGAATTCAGCAAAGGTCACTCCTTGATCCTACTTCATGCCCTTCAGCTCTTGTGTGATTGTTTTTTGTGGACCATGTGCTTGGTCATATCCTTTCTCCACACTCTTCCCTCCCAGTGCCTCAACCAAGTTAGATCCTTGTGTCCAATCTGTTCAGAGGTATCAATCCAGGTAGCCAAGGACTCTGCTTGTGGAAGTACCTGCCTTTTTCTTGTTATTTTCTTTAGCTCTTTTCTCTCTTTATATAGTTTTCTTTCTGATTTCTCTCAGATCTTCTTCCTATACCAAATTGGACCTAATGAATAAATGATACTCAGAACTAGATCTCCTCTAATGGCTACACATGTAGGTTACAGCTCTGTAAAAATTAAAAAGCATATGAGAAGAGCATGGGCAAAGAAAACCCAAAATATTTACCCACCTAAGTGGAGAAACAGCTAGGCCAGTACCCAGAGAAGTATAATTCAGGGAGTCTGCATGCAGAAAATGTCCTGGGGTGAGGTAGAAGTTGTGTATAGAAGGCAAAATGAAGTAGAGTGGAGATTCTGTTCTCTAAGGCGGGGATGGGTTTCCTCCGGGGAAACAGATCTACTGTTTACTTCCTCAGATTTTTTTTTTTTTTGAGACAGAGTCTCACTCTATTGCCCGGAGTAGAGTGCCATGGCGTCAGCCTAGCTCACAGCAACCTCAAACTCCTGGGCTCAAGCAATCCTACTGCCTCAGCCTCCCGAGTAGCTGGGACTATAGACATGTGCCACCATGCCCGGCTAATTTTTTCTATATAGATTTTTAGTTGTCCAAATAATTTCTTTCTATTTTTAGTAGAGAGGGGGTCTCGCTCTTGCTCAGGCTGGTCTCGAACTCCTGACCTTGAGCGATCCACCGCCTCGGCCTCCCAGAGTGCTAGGATTACAGGCGTGAGCCACCATGCCCGGCCTTACTTCCTCAGATTTTGATGTGCTGCTCAATATAGTATTCACTAGTCACACGAAGCTATTTAAAGTTAATTAAACAATTAAAAATTTAGTTCATCAGTCACAGTAGGCATATTTCAGAGCTCAACAGCCACATGTGGCTAGTGGCTATGATATTGGACAGCACAGATAAAGAACATTTCCATCATCACAGAAGGTTCTTTTGGACAGTGCTGGATTAGGGATATTAGGGTTATCAGCAGGGAATGCGTATATTCTGGCCCTTCCAGGATCAAATCTCTAAAAGGCTAGGGTGTAAGTTATCTGTCCTCTCCCTGCCACTGCCATTCTCATATCATGTGCCAGTAGCCAGACTGTATACACAAACAACCAGGCTCACGTGCTCCATGGTCTCTCCATCCCCTTGTCCTGCCCTCTGGCCTGCTCTTGTCCTTCCTCCACCACTCCAGCCCCTGGAAAACAAGCTGCAGAAGAAACTTTTCCATCGACTTTGACCTAGTTTCCTGGTCACAAATTCAAAGGGGAGGAGCCACTAAATTCTTGAACAGGTGAGAAAGGGGTGGGGTGGGTTCAAGTGAGAGTCACCCTGGCAATACCGAGAGCTAGAAACTGACGAGCTAGAAACTGACTCGTTGGGTAATGAAAAACAGAGACACAAAGAAAGCCAGGAGAGAGCTACGGAGAAGGAAAGACAAACGAAAAATGAAGATTGAAATGGGAAAGGATCTTTTCAATCTCATTTACTGTTTGATTCACATTTATTTTATGTAGAACTTCTGGGAGCCTGTAAGGGCCAGGACTAGATCTGTCTGCAAATATTTAAACGAGCCAGAAATCGAAAAGTACGTTTACCTCTGCCATCTCAGGGTTTCTCACCTGTCACTCATGAATAATAAAGATCACTTCAATTAAAGGGGGAGGCCAGGTGCAGTGGCTCATGCCTGTAATCCTAGCACTTTGGGAGGCCGATGTGGGAGGACTGCATGAACTCAGGAGAGTTCGAGACCAGGCTGAGCAAGAGCAAGACCTCATCTCTACAAAAAACAGAAAAATTAGCCGAGCATGGAAGTACATGCCTGTAGCCCCACCTACTGAGGAGGCTGAGGCAGGAGTATCACTTGAGCCCAGGAGCTTGAGGTTACAGTGAGCACTCTAGCCTGGGCAACAGTGAGACCCTGTCTCAAAAAAAAAACAACAACAACGTGCAATTGTGGTATTAATCTATAATTATTACCCTACAAGGAAGAAATAGGAAGGGATAAGGGTGGGGTTGAATATTTAGTAAACATTTACTGAGTTATGACTATATGCTTGGATAGGAACTGTGGAGAAAAAAAATGGTAGCTACCTCCAATGAATACTCGTAACTCTAAACTCATCTTTAAGTTATCCTTGTCAGCATATAAACCAGCTTTACACTGAGAATAAACTTGATGAGGAAACAAAATTTTCAAACTTTCCTTTAAAATCCCCTTACAAACCCAATTTTTTCCCTGCATTTCAAGAACTTATGAACTCTAAAATTGAAGGAATTGATTAGCTGTGGATTTGGAAAACTAGTTTAGGCCACCAGAAGATTTCATTATAGCTCTTTGGTGAATTGGGAAGAAGACCAAATATAGCTCCAATTCCTTCCCTCTTCACCCCTCCAACCCCCACGTTGACTACATTTGCTAGGGTCAGCCCGTAGGGAGTGTTCTTTCCATGGGGTTTTCAGTAGTGTGGATTGTGAAGTAGAGGAAAGCTCCTTTAGGCACAACTTCTTTCTAAAGTTCTCCAATGCCAACTCACAGACAAGAAGAAACAAAATCTTTTTTGTCATTAAAAAAACTTTTTTATTTTTTTACAAACAATACCCCCATCTGGGGTGAAAATATATCTGGTTAAGTACAAAATATAGTATTTACCATACAAAAAGATACATAAGTAAAAAACAAAAAATGAAACCATTTTCAGCTCACATACTTTCTGGCTATAATAATTCTCAGCAAAGGGTGGAGCTCAGTGCTGACACAGGACAGTGAACAAAGTGCTATGGCTGAGGGTGACTGACCAACTGTTGGCAGCTGCAGTGAGAGACAGCCTAATATCCCTATCTCCTAACACTGGGCAGGAAGGGAGATGGAGGGACTTCAGTGAAGACTTGCCCTCTAGTTTCTCAAAGCAGTGTCTGGAGTGTTGAAGCTTCTTGATCTAGAGTTCCTCCTTGGGGTTGGAGAAATCACAGTGGGCAAGGCTGACAGCAGCAACCCTTTCATATAATTAAAGTGTTAGAATTATATAGTTCTGTACACTGGGACAAAGTCTCGAAAGTAATAACACTTTTGTCATTGTGCTTACCCCTAGAGACATAGTAGACCAGTTTTAGCTTACATTTAAGATGGAAGGAAAAAGAACAAAAAATTTGACAGGAACTAAAGTGCTAAGAACATCACCTTAGAATCAATTCCAAGGACTCACATGAAAAGAAAAACATATCCTCCCATATGAAAACGTTTGCAACAGAATACAGTGCAACAGGCTCTAAAAATGGCTTTTAAGACTTTTGGTGGGACAGTTACTATTGCTTTAAGCCAGGTTAAAGTACAGTCTAAGCAAAGACAACCTTAGAGCACTTTCCCTTTAATTCACAGGGAAATCTCCTTCCAAAGTCTAAACCAAATCAGTCCTGGAAGATTTTTCTTTTTCTGTAAGTACAAAAACAATTGTGTACACAGATTTTAAGAACCTCCTTTTCCCAAAGTTTTGGCCACAATTTTCCTAGTTTTGCTAAACTGGCTCTGCTCCACATGGCACAGGAAGTTCAAGGTCCAATGTTATAACAATCCATAAAAAACCTTCAAAAACTCTTAAGAAGACCATGTGAGGGGGTCATTTCTACCCCCGACTCAAACTCTGAAATGCCTCAATTTTTCAAGGAGATCTGAAAAAATATATGGGCCTGGGTTTTTCTATTGTGTTTTAATACCCATCCAGCAAACACCCTTGTATCACACAACACTGGCGCTGGCTGAAGACAAGTCCGCACCCTTTAAGGCCCAGGAGGTTGCCTGCTCATCACCTCCTGCATTAGGAGGTCAGAGTCTGAGGTGGACCCATAGCCCACTGTAGAGACTGTTGTTAAGTCTCTAAAAAAGTGAAGAGTCCAGGAAGAGAGGCAGAAAGAAACAAGTAGCTACAGCTGCTTCTTTTCTTCCACATGCTCACTGCACATTGTTGTTGAGGATACAGGGATCCACCTGGAGGAAGAAAGAAGAGACCCTTTTAAGTTTGAATACGAACTAAAAGAACCAGTTTGGCCATCCCTCTTAGTCAACTTCCTATAGAAGGCTTGGGACAAATATAATGGTAAAAATGACAATTCCCACCTCAGTATAAGTAGGTGGTGGCATGAACTTGAACTCAGGAGCATACATAAAGATAGGGCTGTCTTGAGAGCTGTCCATGTCATCTAGCAGAGGAGTGGTGGGGCTCTCCAATCGATGATCTTCAGGAATGATATCCATATAGCAAGGAGGAGCTAAAAAGAGAAAATAAGGGGAGATAAGAAGTCTAGCCAAGAGATGCTGGACCATCACAGTTTTACAAACCCAAACAGACCAAAAGAGAAGAAAAGACGTTAGGTCTGGCTCACCTTCTGGGGTATCGGGGATGTTCAGATCTACCCAACTCATCTCGGAGCTGGTTCGGCTGGCCATGCTGGACGTTCGGCTGCTTAAACCTGATCTGCTGCCGATTACCAAGGGCAAGTCAAGGATGACTTTCTTTGAGCCAGGGACGCTAACGTAGATCTAGAAAGGAAGATGGTAGTTTGTTGGACTAGAGGTCTAGAGAACACACAACTGTTGTGGTAACAGATAAACAATTTCTCTCACACAGCCACTCCTATCCACTCACCAGTAAAGAATATTCAACTCGAAGGATGTTGCAGCCCAGGATAGAAGGCCTGATCTTCTGCACCCGAAGGCTCTTGCCACGCCACGATGCACATGTCCCTGAGATAATGTGATTGCCTCTGACCGATGACAACTTCTGAGTCAGCACCTTGGTCTGGCCATTGGCAAGGTAAGTGTGGCGGGCCACAATGGCAGCTTTGGGGACCACAATTCGAGAACATGTATTCTCAAAGTCAGCATGGATGGAAATGTCATCACCTAGCAATAAGAAAGATAAAAACTTATTAACTAATACTAAGGACAGTTGATGACATTTCTTCTGCCCCAGTCCTGTGCCCTTACCTCCAAACCAAGAGTTTCTGTTATATCTACCATTTTAAACAGTAGGTTTTTACCTTCACAGAATCCTTTTCTGTCAATCCGAGCAGAGACAGACACCCGCCCGTCAGGAATGAACATGCAGGAAACTTTCTTCTCCTTTTTAGCAGACACAGGTGCCTACATAAAATGGGACAAAAGTGTTTTGAGATGCTTCAATGTAATGCCCAAGTCACCTGATTTATCATCCCTGTGACCCAGGAGAACAGAATCTTAAAATGAACCTCACCATTAAATCAGGAGTATTGACATCCACTAGATCCATCACTTCAAAGCTTTTCTTTGTCTCTTGAGTTGGCTGGCTGGGGCGATCAAGAAAAGCCTTCACCCAGTAGTCCACACACCCATATTTTCCTTTGAAAGAGGTTCCCAGAGGCCTGTGTCAAGAAAAGAAAAACAATTCAAAAATGTTCTCCAAGAACAGTAAAGTGATCAAAGAAGATATTTAGAGATAAAAGAGCCCGAAGATTTATTTAGCTAATACCTACCCCTGAGGAAGCTCAAAGCCGAACTTATACTCATATTTGTTTCCAGGTCTCATGATCACCATCTCATTCTCACCTGAAAAGAGAGAAAAGCAAATAACCATTAGGTTTCTTATTACACTTAAAATGCATCTGTGAGATAAAGAACGCTTGGGCAGCATCCAAGGGTATTGTAGTAGCTCAGTTTCATCCTTTATGTTCTTAAATGAGAGGTTCTGATGTATTTTGTTGGGCAAAAAGTTGCAAAGCCCTGCAATGCTCAAAGGCTCACCCAGGAGTTCCCCTAACAACTCAAACCGGAAGCAAGCAAAGAATAAGCAACTCATGCACACACAAGTCTTTAAATAGCTGAGCCAACACCCCTCAAGGACCACCTTTAGGACACAGTACTGTAAGAAATTGTGCAAATCACCCTTTTTGGGGGACTGGGGGAATGTTTACAAATTAAAACTAAAAAAGAAAAGGAAACAACACGTAATTCAAACCCAACTGAGCGACTTAAAACATTTAGTGTAGGTTCTATTAATTGCTTTCAATTCTCTAACCATTTTAAACGCTCCAACAACAAACAACCGGGCCACTGACCTGTTGGCTGGTCTTCGAGGAGAAGCGTGTCTTCGTAGCGCAGATACTCCAAGGTCTGTCTGCACTGCTGGGATCCCTGCATCCACAGGACTTTGGCCACTCCGCAAGCCAGGACCCTAACGGCTTTGACTCGAGTAACTTCACACACCTCCACTATCACCCGGCCGGCCACCTTCTCGCCACTGCCATACACCTTTTCGGGGTCGTTAAAGACCACTTCAAAAGACTTAATCTTCTTGAACATCACCATGACTGGGCTGAGTTGGCTCAAGAAGCAGAAACGGGGGCGAAACAAAAAACCAAAACGCCAAATCCAAGAAGCACCCTTTGCAGTAAGTTATTTCACTCTCCTTAAGGAATGAGGGTGTCCTTAAGCAGGTTGGGCTTAAAAACAAAATAAGATTTAAAGCAGCCCACAAACGAATCCTAACTACTAGGTTTTCGAAAAGGTGTCCAAAATTTTTAAGTTGCTGGTTACGCCGAAGGATTTCAAGAGAAAGAAAAAAAAAAACACACACCTTCTCCCCCGGCCCCACGAATCGCTGGAGGAAAAAAATCCGGATTTCGGCGGGACGCGGACAGCACTCAGTCAGAGTTGACGAGGAGACGGTTTCTACCGGGAGCCGGAAACTGCTCTATATAGTAGCCAGGGCGGCGGAGCCACGCGAGCGCTGGCCCGGAGGCTCGTGCTGCCCTCGTGCACAGCCGTCCCATTGGCTGCCCGGTCCTTGTTTACCAGGAGCCCGACCAATCAGCGAGGTCGCAGCGGCGCGTGGACACGGTGTGCTCCTGGCGGGGAAAATGGTTGTTGTGCAGCGCTGCTACTCGGCGGGCGGGGGAGGGGAGCGGAGGGGGCTGTGGAGTGACTTACCCCCGCCCAACGGAAGGAGGGCTCCCGGACCCTAAAACCTAGCTGGGGCGAGTTGCCGTCGGAGGGCGAGTGTGGGGATGCTTCTGGTCTAGGAGCAGTGTTTTGAGGTAAAAGGAAAGTGCTTCTGAGGGAATTTCATGCCTAGTCTTAGCTAGTGCAGTGACTTAAGAGGCAGCCGTTTATTCCGCCTCAGAGGCAGCAAGTCTGTGAAAAAGAATCCCATGGCTCCGAGAGAACTTTAGGATTGGGGTGGCGGAGTGTAGGGAATGCTGTTGTTACTGTTCAGGAAGATCCCCTTTGTCTCCTGCTCCTCATCTCTATTAAAAGCAAAAAACTGGCTTCTCTGAAGGAAAGGAGAACTTGCCACAAATTTTCAACCTCTTTCCCGTCCTCATTGGAAAGTGGGCCCAGGGCACTGAGGTGTCCTCTCCCTCCCCTTTTAGCCCCTGGGGCCCTGGCGCTGTGCGCCCGTGCTGTTCCTCAGGCTGTGCCGTCTCCTCGGTTCTCACTGTTCTCGGGAACGGAAATGGTAAGGGCGTGTTCTCATCCTGTTGCTTATCCCCTCATCTGTTCAGCTTCCACCTGCAAAGTGGGGGAACACATTGTTTATGTTCTCCGTTTCCCTCATTGCCTCTTCAGTAAGGTGTGTTCTTTAGGCTCTGATCATCTCTCACTTCCTGCTTCTCCAGGAAAGAAAAAGAGAAGGAAAAAAAAAAAAAAAGGTAAAAGGGCGCTTTACTCTTTTCCCTCCCCCCTCGCCTCCCCCCTAGTTACTTTCACTGTTTATTGTATTTACGCGCTCTCAACTCACTAAATCAAATGCACATCCATAAATCTGCTTAAAAGCAAGAAAGTCCTTCGGTTCATAACCAGATTGTCAGTGGACAGGTGGAGGAGCAATTTTTTATCTTCTCAGAGTTTTTTCCTAAGCTGTTTAGAAATAAGTAAGAAGGGCAAGACAAGAAAGAAGGGTCACCAGAGCACTACAAATTCGTGCTAAAAGGGACCCTGACTCCTCATTCTTTGTTGGTTTCATTTGGTTGTGTGTCATATGGGTTTCTCCCTGCTGGCTATGAGACGCCTTTAGGAGCTGACTCCTGAGAAATTATTCCTAAATGTAATTTTAAAAACTTGTATGCAGAGGTGCAGGGATTATTTCCCCCTTTTTTTTCATTCCTGGACCCTTCTCATGTCTGTTTTGGGGTATCCGGAGATTATTACCCTCTTTCCTTGTGCTGGAAAGAGGAAGATAATGTCCTCAAGATTGAAATGGGGAAGTAAATAAGCAGCATTTGGGTATATTGAAGTCCTATTCTCTCAGCAAAAAGAAGTCTTTATTGCTGTTAAGGATCCTTCTTCCTTCCTCCTACACCCTAACTGGGTTGACACCCTAAGGCTAACAAGTTACAACTCAACCCCGATATTAAGCAAGCTCAAGAATCAGACATCACAACTCTCTTGGAAAACATACGCAGAGTACAAACCCCAGGAACATGTTGTTCTTTAGGGTGTGTGGGCTTGAGGTGGCACCTTGTTCGAGAAAGTTAACTAACTAGGCTTGAGGTATATTCAATAGGTCAGCAATATTGATAGAGTTATTGGGAGCAGAGGAGGTGGGACTCCGACTAAAGTAATTTTAAAAATACAAAATTGTGGCTCTGGGAGAATTTTTAGTTTGATGGGTATGAAAGTGTACATAAATATGAAACATCAAAGTGTTTACAGTGAAATACAAGAATCAATACTGTTAAATAATGTGATATATAACTACATAAATTTTGAGGGGATAGGAGGAGTAGTGGCTAGTAATGGATCAGGGTGGTGGTAATTTAGGACATCTAAGAGAAAAGGGACTGCTAATATTTGTTTCTATGAAGTACTGACATTTTGAATTTGTAAAAATCCTATGACAATTCTCTCTTATTCTAAGTTTCTCCCTTTGGGCTCCAGTTTCTTCTTATTTTCCCATCCTGCAGAGCTCAGTATAGACCATTTGTTTGCTCTGTATTATGTCTGGATTCCCTTGAATGCCAAAAAACTATCTAGCTTTGGCAGCAGCAGCTGCCTACCAGGACTGTAGCCAAGACATGTTCTGAAATGGAGTTCTCCTGGACAGAGCTGTTTACAACCTTTCACCTTTTAACCCCATATTCTGATAACAATCTGCCCCCTGATTCTTCCTTCTCAGTTCTTGGGTCAAAGAAAGAAAACAATCTTATAAATTCCTGTCCTGAAAAAAGGGTATCAGCACTTGTGGAGTTCTGTAAAAAGGGCAGGCCCAGGAGGAACAGCAAAGTAGGACTCTGTCCAGAAGTTCTGCAAGTTAGATCATCTTTACCTGCCCTTTCCCCATCTCTTCATCCCATTACCAATAGGAAACCAAGTGGTGATTGTGTCCTTGTTTGTTTGCTTTATTGGAGGTGATAGAGTAAAGCCAGAGCTTTCAGGAAGGGAAGAGCCCTCACCACCCTGTTGCCAGTTTGAGACAAGGCACTGATTGCATTTCTCTTTTCTTTAACCTCTGGCCTGCCAAACATTTAGAACTCTAAAGACTCTCAATTCCTACTGCAAAACAAACCCTCTTTTTGTCCCTTTAATCACTTAGGTTACCTCTACTCTTTAAACTTCCTTTTACCCTTATCCACTTCCCTTTCCCATTTTTCCCTAAAGAATGTTACTTTAGAGGCAAATAAGTGAGAGTGTGGAATTCAAGACTACCCAACTATGCATATGGCTCCAAGTCTTAGATAAATAATTGTATAGCATCTTAAAGTTCAAAGTGACTTTTAAAATAATTGCCATATGTGGAGCCCCTATAATGAACCAAGTCCTTTATATAATTATGTCAATGAGATTTATAATGTCATCTGTCATATTGTTCCAGAAAGGACTTGAGATTCGATTGTTTCATTTCATTCTCACAATGATCCTGTGACTCAGAGTTGATTAAATCAGGCTCAGAAGTTAAGTAATTTGCCTGAGGTCATAGATTTTGTAAGTAGAGCAAGATCTTGAACCCAGTTCTGTCTAAAGCGTGTACACTAATATGTTGCCCTGTCTCTCGGTGCTTTGACACGTAGCATCTTGTTTGATTTTCACACCAGTCTTCTAAAGCTGCCGTCCCCAACCCCTAGGCTGCAGACTGGTACCAGTCAGTGGCCTTTTAGGAACCAGGGCCACACAGCAGGAGGCTAGACAGGAGGTGAGCAGCAGTCAGCAAGTAAGCAAAGCTTCATCTGTATTTACAGCTGCTCCCTGTCGTTCACATCACTGTATAAGCTACGCTCCGTTCAGATCAGCAGTGGCATTAGATTCTCATGGGAGCATGAACCCTACTATAAACTGCGCATCTAGGTTGTGTGCTCTTTGTGAGAATCTAATACCTGATGATCTGAGGCAGAGCTAAGGTGGTAATGCTAGCTCTGGGGAGTGGCTGCAAATATAATTAGCAGAGAGGTTTGACAATAAGTATAATAGGCTTGACTCATCCGGAAACCATCCTCCCCCAGGTCTGTGGAAAAATTGTCTTCCAATTTTCCCTGGTGCCAAAAAGGTTGGGGACCGTTGTTCTAAACGGTTCAGGACAAGACTCAGAGAGTTTTAGAGTTAAAGGGAACTCTAGCAGTCTTTTTTTTTTAAACCAGTTCCCTTATTTTGGTTAAGTAACTTGACCTAGGACCTACAACTAGTGTCTGCTGGAGCCACTCTTCAAACCCAGGATTCTTTTTTTTCAAATTTTTTTTGAAACAGAGTCTCACTCTGTTGCCCGGGCTAGAGTCCATGGCGTCAGCCTGGCTCACAGCAACCTCAAACTCCTGGGCTCAAGCGATCCTCCTGCCTCAGCCTCCCAAGTAGCTGGGACTACAGGCATGCGCCACCACGCTCAGCTAATTTTTTCTATACGTTACTAGTTGTCCAGCTAATTTCTTTCAGTTTTTTTTAGTAGAGACGGGATCTCGCTCATGCTCAGGCTGGTCTCGAACTACTGAATTCAAACAATCCGCCCGCCTCAGCCTCCCAGAGTGCTAGGATTACAGGCGTGAGCCACTGCGCGCGGCCCAAACCCAGGATTCTTAATATTTAATCTAGAGTTCTTATCTCTAGGATGCTTTGTGAGGGCTTTTTGTTTTTAAATTTAGCTTTAATTATTAAAAATATCTGGAAGCCCACATTTTATGTTGACTGAGATCCATTTTTCTACCATGCTGAGGAAAGGATGGAGATCTCAGTGTTGCCCAACTTCATGGCAAGATGGGGAGAGGGACTTAATTAACTTGTTTAGAACTGTTGGAGGCTCGCTTAAGATATTCCTTAAACTTGCCTTTATACATGGTAAAAAAAATTTTACATGCCCTCTCATACTATTACTCTTTTTTCTACTCGTTACCATCAAATTTTTTTGTTTAATTGTTTCTATTTTTAGTTGACCAGCTAACTTTTTTTAGTTTTAGTAGAGATGGGGGTCTTACTCTTCCTTAGGCTGGTCTCAAACTCCTGACCTCAAGTGATCCTCCCACCCCGGCCTCCCAGGGTGCTAGCATCACAGGCCTGAGCCACCATGCCCAGCCTCAAATCTCTTAAGAAAATAACCTGTACCAGCTTTCTCTGTTGACTAAACTTGTCCCTTTGTAATATGGCTTCTCGTCCCTCTGAAATGGTTTTTATCAAGTTTCCTGAGGAAACCAGAGTAGTTTTTTTTTAGGCCTTATTTCCTTTGACTTCT